CCCCCAAAACCCCAAAACCCCAAAACCCCAATTTGACAGATTTAAATTGAGTGAAACAGGAATTTAATGAGCATATTTGAGAACACCTATCTGCAAAAGTTTTTCAGAATGGAATTTTCTACTAGAACAGGAGGGATTGTTTAAGAGATAGTCGATTTATAGAAAGTAAAAATTATAGAGAAGCTCTTTACATTTTCTGATCTGTAGAAATAAATTTAGCAGAAATATATTAAAATGGTTAAAGCCACTCGGGAGCATACCATTCGCTAGGCTTGTTTTTTATCTGTGTTTTGAGGTTGATTTTTAGCATCTGTTTAGGAGTCTTAAACTGGGATTTTGATTGAGTCTTAAACAATCTTCTTATTTTGTTTCTGCTTTTAGTCATTCTGATTATATAGGAACTCATCCTCCTGGTTTTCTAATCTGGAATTTTGAATTAATTTGCTTCTTGACCATTCTCTTTTTAGAGTCTTGTCTCATGCATGCTATATTAAAATAAACACGAGTTCAAAAATCTTTTCACTGGGCATACGAAATTTACCTCCAAAATCAATCTGGCTTTGGCTGCTTGTAAGTTGTTCTAAAGAAAGTTAGTATTCTTGTTTTCATAATGTTCAACTGACATATTTTCAAAAGTCATTTAAATTGAGATTAATTGGTATTCAAATGATTTCTCTTAAGAATTAATCGAAAATACTTAGTAAACTTACTTGAGATGTACTGTCTGAGGTTTCTACGGCTCTCATTCTTACATTTATTGATATCATCCCATAGTTTTTTGAATTGTGGGAACTTGGGCTTTTCATATCACTGTGAGCCTTAATCAATAATTAGCACATGTACGAAAGTAAAGAAGATTCTAACTCATGCAATTCTTGCTCATAGACTCATGAGATTTAGTAGAAATATCTTTCAAAATATCTGATTAGAGAAAATCTTTTAAAATTCTGATTTCTTAGGAACACTTAAGTATAAATCAGTGTTCGTAAATTAGATTGGAAGGTCAAATATCAAGTGCTTACCCCTCCTCTTTTTAGGTGTCCCTGCTGTTGTATCAAAAATACTTGAAATCGTATCCTTTGAGTTTGGAACAAATATAAAATCTACTGCTATTAAACAATTTGGTTACCCTTCCTTTTCATGTTTAATTTAATATCTCTAACAAGACAAATTTACTTATAAGGGGTTTTGGGGTTTTGGGGTTTTGGGGG